CTAAACCCTACACCCTAAACCCTAAACCCTGCACCCCTAAAACGCCTTAGCCCTAAACCCGAGGAGGCCACCTCCGCCGGCGTCCGCGCCTCCATGATCGCGGAGGCTTTGGGTTTGAGGTCTATTGGGTTCAGGGTTTAGGGTTTATGGTTGAGGGTTTAGGGTTTAGGGTTTAGGGTTTAGGGTTTATGGTTGAGGGTTTAGGGTTTAGGGTTTAGGGTTTAGGGCCTTAATTAAGAACCCAAAACCTACTTTTTTGTAGGGTCCCTATAAAATCCCATATTAGGGTTTATAATAAGAACCTACAAAAAAGTGGGTTTTGGGTTCTTAAGGTAGGGTGTAAGGGCTAGGGTTCAGGCTTTAGGTTTGTGTCGCCACGAGTGCGATGTGCTGCGGGGAGCCTGGCCTTGCGTGTTCCACTCACGCCTGTGTAAAAAAGGGTTTAGGTTTAAGATTTTTCGGGTTTTGGTGTTGTTGAGGGTTTTAAGGTCCGGGGGGTTTTGGAGCTGATCGCAAAGGGAGGTGGCTTTGGATTTCGGGTTTAGGGTTTATGCAAGCGGTCATGCGGACTGTCACGCAGCGAAGCATGGCAGCTAAGCGGATTCCAGTGGGTCTAGGGAATGGTTTAGGGTTTAGGGCCTTTAGGGTTTAGGGTTTAAGGATTCCTTTAAGAACCCAAAACCCACGTTTTTGGAGGTTCTTATTATAAACCATAATATGGGATTTATAGGGACCCTACAAAAAAGCAGGTTTTGGGTTCTTAAGGTAGGGGCTAAGAGCCCCTGGCCGCACTCTGCCTTGGAAAAGGCAGAAGCTCGGCTAAGCCACTTGGCCGCTCTGCGCGAGGCGCAGCAAGGCCCCCGGGTAGCGATGCCAGACCCTGTCGGTTTGGGAATTCGGGGGGTCAGAATAATATAGGGGCCTCAATAATTACCTATACTATTGACTGTTTTTGGGGTTCCTTACTACAACTGTAGTATAATATGCCCCAAAACCTTATTCTAATTCTTAAGGCCTACAGTAGTTATCGATAGTATTCGTTAGGCTCGTTGCTATGCAGATACGACAGGACACCCGCTGTTCCCCTTATTAGGGCCCCCTTTTTTATGGAACTCTTATTCAGAAGCCTTAGCATGCCTGGCACGGTGCCTTTTTACCGGACCGCATAGACCACGCCTAGCCCAGGTTTTGTTTGAAGTTTTGCGACCCCAGGGTGCCCTGGCCACCGGAACTTAGTAGCTGTGTTTTTTCTCAAGTGCCCCGGGCCTTAAACCCTAAACCAAATGACACCCTGAGCTCTCCGTAGACCCAAAACCCCAGCCATCTGGCATGGTCCCAGCGGTGACCCGAAATCCTAAACCAGAGGCCCCTTCGAGATCCCTGTGCCTTTGCAGCGCCCTTGCCGAACCATCTGTGACGGTTTAAGGTGTAGTGTGCAGGGCTCAGTTTAGGGTTCTATAACCCTTGTGGAGCCTTTGCAAGAGGCTCCCGCCGACCCGCCGCGTCGGAGCCATTGCCCTCAGAGCCGTCGCCGAAGCGCCGGAAGACGGCCTCCGAAGGAGCTGAGGACAGCCCCTAATATCCGAAGTGAGCGCAGTTAAACCCAGAAAAGCCGATGAAGAGTTGAACCCAATAAACCCTAAACCCTAAACCCTAAACCCTTAAGACCCTAAACCCTAAATCCTTAAGACCCTAAACCCTGTACCCTGTACCCAATAAACCCTAAACCCTAAACCCTAAACCCTAAACCCTTAAGACCCTA